CCCCCCCCCCCCCCCCGCCCCCTTTGGTGCGTGTTACACAGGCGCGAGATGACGCCCATGGGGTGGGCGCAACTACCGCGATCGCCTCTGCTGCGTATTCTTCTAACTCTAGAAATCACAACAGCACGGGCGGGAGCGGAGGAGGGGTTGCGTTCCTCAACGGGAACAAGGACGACCACGCGAGCGACGATGGCGGCGGGATTAACGGAGGGGGGATCGTGGGGGGAGGGGGGGGGGGGGGCGGCGAAAAGGGGGACTCGGGGCCGGGGGGACGCCGGGGAGGGGAGCGAGGGGGACGGTGGCGAGGAATACGATTTCGTCGCGAAGGGGCGAAGGAGAAAAAGGATCTTCCGGAAGGTGGAGAGAGCGGTCAGGAGGGGGAAGGTGAGAAGGGAGGGTGGGTGGCCATCGTTTGTGGTGTGGTGTGGTGGCAATGATGGCGACGGCCTGTTTAGGCGCGGTGGGGGGGGGGGCGGCGTACTCACGTTTTGCATGCCGTAACGGTTAGACAATTGACTACGCGCCCTCGAGAGGACGGGGCGTTGTTCCCACAGGGTGGGGGTGTCATTAGTGCCGTATTGGATGGATAACCTGGTTGAAGGGATGCCGAAAATCGTGGTGGCGCATGTAGGTGGTGACGCAAGACTGGGATGTGAGCCATGAGCGCAGTTAGCGGTGTAGCATTTGACGATAGCACAGAAACTGCTCTACACGCATCCCCCCTTACGGTAGGTTCACAGATTTGGCTCACACAAACACGGATGGTATTCGGGGAAGAACTCGCCCCCTCCCTGTATCATGTCCCGGGACCACTCTGTCGCTGACCGGAGGTGCGGAAACCTGTGGTGCCCGAAAACAAAAAATTATACTTGCGAAATAATTCTCACTACGAGGACAAGCGGAAGGTTAACCGCATGGGTAGAAAGTCGACTGGTTTTCTCGTTGTTAGGAAACATGTGTACAAACACCGAAATACTAAGACTACCCATTCCGTTGTTGTGGTGGGTTTGGTCTCGTCGAACGCCACAGCAACCAGGACGAAGGTTTGCCATAGGTTGCGGATATGCGCTCGAGCCCACCGAGCTCGCTTGGTGGTGCTTATGATTTGGTACTACCTTGTTTGGTCTTTGCTTCCGAGAACAGCACGAGTCACTCCTGCGGGCAAGGGTACTACTGTAGCTGCACATCCGTGGTGTAAAAGTTTCGGGGCACTTTCAGCTACTCCTCAATTGTACCCCAGCGTGGTCACGTGTCCTGATTCTGCTTGACACAAACACGGCACAGGCAACCCTCCCACGATTCACACGAGGCCCTATTTCTCTGGCCGAGGCCTTGTTGTTGCTTGAGAGCGTGCACCTCCGTGGCGGTGTGTGTATGGTCAGAGGCATCACCTTGCCGTAGGCGAACGTGTTGGCACGACTTTGTCAGATGATGGGCGCTCCTTGCACAGATAGCAGGAGCTTAGAGCAGTCGTGACTACCTGGTATGTCGGTTTCCTGATGGGAGTATCTACGTGCGAGAAGTTCCTTGCCGAGAGCCTGCCCTTTGGTTCTACCTACCCTTGGCTGTCTGTTTTTGCAACAGTACCTTTTTTTTCTTCTTGTCCTTCGTAACTATTTGTTGTTTTTTCGTCAAGGCGATCAGGCTCGTTCGTACACGTGTGTCATCGTTTTCCTCCGCTTCGCGCCCTCGTTGCTCCCATGTCACATCATGTCATGTCATGTCGTGTCGTGTCATGTCACATCATGTAATGTCATGTCGTGTCACATCATGCATCATGCCATGTCGTGTCATGTCACATCATATTATGTCATACCGTGTCATGTCGTGTCGTTTCATGTCATTCCATGTCATGTCACATCATGTTATGTCATGCCGTGTCATGTCGTTTCGTTTCATGTCATTCCGTGGACAGATCCCGAAGGAGTGCTCGAGCGATTACGCGAAGCTCCTGACGTCGCCGTTGATGTCTCTCCTCTGCAAGAACAGCGGTAAGCCGGCGGAACCGTACGTGCACAGCAGCAGCACCGGTATAGCGGTGGCTGCAGTATACGTAGTATTCCAGATATGGCATCTTTGGCTTTCATTTCTTCGGCACCAGTCTTCGTGCAGCTCCACCCCCGTCCCCTCTACGGTGTTTCGCGGCACTTGCATGTTGTCCTTCGAGTGGGAAAGCGCGTACCCCTGCCCTTCGGGTTGTAGATTACCTTTTTTTTGTTTCGTCAGGCAATGTGGCCGACGCCACACCTCGGTATTGGCTGCGTCTTTTACCATCAGCAAGAGCTAATGATGCTCGGTCTCGAGGCGGATGCGGATTGTGAAGAGGCAAAAGCAGGGCAAGGCACGAGATCACTGCTGTGACCTTCGTGTACCCCCCCTCCGCGCGATAATTTACAGCGTAGGCTCGATGATCCCCCCGCCCGCCTCCCCCATGTCGATAGTTTTGGGAGACCAAATGGTGGCCATAGGATGCTCAACATAAACATTAAGAGCGGACGACAGGAAATGGTGACCGTAAGATGATGAACATTAGGGGCGAAGGACAGGGAGTTCTATGATTACGCATTAATGTGCGTTTTATCGCGAGAAAGAAACAAGTCCCCGTCGTCATGTGTAGCATCTTGCGGCCACCAGATATCTCTCAACACTACGGATATAAGGGGGTAGGCAGGCGGGGGTATTGAGCCTGCTTGATGCATGAGTGGCGCGGAGGGGAGGGGGGTACACAAACATCACGCGGCATACGGAAGGCAATCAGGATCTTCCGTTACCAACGGTCGAACTCGTGAAACCTCCAAGAGTCGTGTAAAACGTTACCTTTACACAAGCGTTCCGGCAGCCCGTCTGGTGGGCGTTTCTTAGGGCCGTTTTATACACAGCGATTTTGGTTCCAAATTTCCAAATTCCGATTTCCAATTTTTTTCCAAAATGTAACGGTCTTACGGATTTGGAAATTTGGAAGCGAAATAGCTGCTGCATAAAACAGTCCTTAGTCCTTAGGAGTTAGAGGAGCAGGAACCGTGCTCCAGTACAGAACAGATGCGTGGTCTGCGGTTCAATGGCCCACAAGAACCCAACAAGACCTGAGTATGCCCCGTCCCCTCTGTGGCAACAATGCTCCGTCCTTTCGAGGAAGCGTGTTCACTGGTGTAACAACCGAAGCATAGCAAAACATGAGTACCTCCCTGGGCTGACAAGGCGGGACGTGACATTGATAGAATGGATAGGCTAGGCGAAAAAACAATTGAGTGATGGGAACATTGCTCCGTCCTCTCGAGGACGCGTGGTCGAAATACAAAGGCGTGCAAAACATGAGAGTACGCCCCCCCCTCCCCCCCACCTACAACGGTTGCAGGCTGGAGAGCGCGTCTCCTGGGAGACACCACGTTCATGACGAAGCTGGCCATCGAGATGGTCACCGGCACCGCGGCTCAGTTCCTGGCGGAGTACCAGAAGAGGGGCAAGAAGTTCATGCAGGAGCTCGACTTCGTGGCAGCGGACACCTTGACGTGCCTCTTCGCCAACTTCGCCGCGGTGTGGCTGTCGTGCCCCACCGTGGCCGTCAAGGCCGTGTGTAAGAAGGAGGCGGCGAAGGCGGGCGGGACGTTGCAGGTGAACGGAAGCTAAAGAAAAGCGCCGCAGGCGCCACAGCCGCAGGCGTGTGGTAAATGTGCCGGTGAAGTGGTTTGCATCGATGTAGCCGTTGGTGTTGCGTTCGTTTTCTCTTCACGCCCGATGAGAGTCGCGTTTTTGGTTTCAGCTCAAAGGCGTTCGCGCTAGTTTGACCAGTACTGGTATGTACTGAGCGGAAGACCGGAACGGTTTTTAATGTGAACATTGCTCAACAACGACGACAACAACCAACATATCCTCTTCAAGCTCCTCCTATCACACCCATCGTCTTTCTACGATTCGCAGCGAACCCAACCCCCCCCCCCCTCATTTTGCCGCCGCAGAAATTCCTGGCCGCGTGCCCTTCGAACGCGTTCCAAAAAGTGGTGGCAGAAGGAGGGGTTTCTAAGACCTTCAGCGTCGCCGAGAGGGGAGCGGCCCTCCTGGTCCCCATGCCCAAGCTCTTCGTGATCGGCTTCGGAGCCACGCTAGCGGGGTACGGCCTGATCGCCGGCCTGGAGACCTTCTCGGCCTGGAGAACCGCCGCCGCCGCGGCACCGCCGGTGGTGGTAGAGAGGGGCGCCGCGAAATCGAAGAGGGGTCTCAAGAGAGCGCAGAAGGCTCGGGCGGCGGCTCTTGCGGAAGAGGCGCAGAAGCCCCCGGTGCCGGTGCTGGGGTCCGGGTTGGCGGTGGGGATGTTCCTGGCCGTGTGGACAAATTTACGTTATCAGGTACGGCAGCGGCAATTGTCGGCTTTATCCCTGGTTTTAATTAAGGACCCCATGTTTTGCAGAAGCTTGGTGCCCCGCAGAAGTGTACAAGGACTAGGGGGGGCATTAAGTTGAGGACAAGTCTACGTTATCAGGTACGGCAGCAGCGATTGTCGTCCTTATCCCTGGTTTATTTTAAGGACACCATGCTTTTGAGAAGGTTGGTGCCTCGTGGAGAGGGGAGGCAGTACAGCAGCAGTCGGCATCCCTGGTTTATTGCTTTATTGATCGACACCCATGTTTTTCAGAACCTTGGGGCCCCGCAGAGTTTGACAAAATAGGGGGGGGAGGAGAAGTTAAGGGTACTCTTTCCTTGCCTTGAGGACACTGCTGTTGTTGAAGAGAAACAATACGTTTGTGTGTATCCATGCATGCGTGCGCTCATTTAACGGTCGGGAGTAACGAATGTCAACTTGGAGGCTGTGTCGTGTCATTTTCTTTTCGTCCCCACCGC